CTCCTCTTCCCCTGACTTAGAAGCGATGTCCAGGCCAACTGGCAAAGACATCTGTAGAAACCAGAGCACTCTCTTAAGCCAAAGACGAGTCTGGCTTCTGGCTCAGGAATTCACGTGTTCCTGCTGGGGCTGCAGCAGAGGGACTCGTGGCAGCGCTGGTCCTCCTGGACAGCTACACCTCTTTTGGCTTGTTTTTAGGGAAACACTTAATTCAGTGCTTGTTTGGGACCTAGATCTGAAAGTGACTGATTCTGCACTGCACCATAATACTCTGTGTGTGTGTATATATATATCTGTATGTATGTATTCATATTCCCCTGGAAAGAGGCCTGATGTACAGCGCAGAGTTGTGCTTTTGATACAAAAGCCTTTGTTAATTGAGTTATGAAATTGCTTCCTTGATGCTGTGTGCTGGAATCTGTAGCTCTTGTTATTCATGGGTGATGACTATCTTCAGAGAACTTTACTTGCAGCCAAATAATTCTCTTTTAAGTTATTTTACGGATTCAATGTCAGCTTACTTTATAGTTTGTGCACTGACCTACACGTGATTTCCCTTGAAATTCCACAGGCAATATATTTTTGGAGTGAAATATATTTGTGTCTTAAATATGTCTACAAAAAATATTAATTTCGTTTTTATGGGATGTCAGTCACTGTTGAGTGAAAAACTGAGCCAAGAGTTTGTAGCTGGGGAGTGGCATGGTGTAGGTGATCACTATATCCCTAATCCAGTATTTGTTGAATATTAATTTTCACTGCATACAAATACTACTATTATAATTCTCAGCAAGGTTATATTCATGTCTTGGATGTTTTGCAAACAATTGTAGGAATGTCTGAACATTTCACTCTGTGCCTTTAAAAAAAAAATAAAATTAAATATTCCCTTTCTTTTACCATGTAGATGGAACAGGTTGAAGCAGATCTAAGCAGATCAAAATTGCTCAGGGAAAAGCAATCCAAGGAATTCTCCCGGCAACTGGAAGAGGTCAAGCAAAGATATGAGCAACAGGTCAGTTCCTTCAGGTGGAGGGGAGGAGGGGCAGCTTTTCATGCTGCTGTAGGTTGGTTCCTGTGGCAGGTTTAATCCTGTTCTCATTGTGCCTTGCTGTTCTCTGTCAAAAGGCAAAATTTATATGTATGCAGAGTTTATGCAATGGGGGATGGAGGGGGACGAGCCTACATAGAAAATACCTTCATTTACTCTGCAATCCTCTAACTGTTTCGGATTGTTTCCCAGGCTTACAGGTGGCAACACTTGTTTTCATAGTGGCCAGATGAAATGACTTCATGTGTCATCTGCTTTTCTTCTTGTCAAGAAACAGCGTTTTATTCTTCTTTTATCGTTTTTTAACACGGGGAGTGTCCATATGAATGCTTGTCTTGGCCCACTGATAGTGATTTTCTTCATTGTAATGTAATGTCAGGGTTGGGAAATATTCAGGAAACATTTGGGTGGAGATGAGAAACTGGAGTTCAATGGTGCTGTGAAGTCTAAAGGGAAAAAACCAAAAACAGAAGCTGGCAAATTATTGCATGGTATAGACTTGAGAGCTACACAGCATCCAACATTGTGTCAGGTGGTACTTTGTCATGAACCTGAAGTGATGTCTGTTTGGTTACACCTGTTAAAGGATTGAAATGTTTTTGTATTGCTTTATAGCAGTGATAGAGTTTTTCCATAAGCTTAAGGCTCTCTCTTATCAGTGTTTTTGTGTGGCTATAAATTTACATTTTCACCAGGGAAATGTGGTTTCATTTCTGTTTATCTTCTGTGCTGGTAAGAGGATGAAATACTGGAGTTGGCTTGTGGGACAAGACCTGCTCTGGTCCATCTGGAAGGGGCTTTTCCAATTAATTAAGGAGTGGGATCACTTTGGTACGTGTTGAGAGAGACTTTGTCAGTGCTTGGGAGGAACAATAGTGTCTTTTGTGCATGGTGCTCAACTTCCATTTCAATCAAAGAGACTTTGTTGGTTTGGATCAAAGTGTTTTCCTTATCCTCTCTCAGAATGTCAACATTACTAATTGGCTTGTCACCTGGAAGGGTGAGCAGCTGTCCCCTGTAATAGATACATCTCCACAGACTTATTTTTTTTAGTCAGTGATATTTTTTATGATTCTTCTATTTAATGGTTCAGGAATAGTCCAGGTTGCAGAGATACTGGGGAACATGATCTATAGAGGTAACTACTAAGCTGCAGTTTGTCAGATGTTATGACATTCCTGTTCCTCCCTACAAAGGGTATTTTTTCCTTTCAGCAAACATGGTAAGAGCTACCAAGCCACAGATCCAGTCTTCTGCCAAATACTGGGTTGTCTTTGGGCACTGAAGGAAAATGATATTGCCTAGTAGTGTCACGTGGGGGGGTTGGGGTTTATTTCTTTATTTTTGGGGAGTTTTTTGTTTAATTTGTTTTCTTGTATCATCATGCCTGTTATATTCAGACTGGATCAGAAAACCCAAGAAACAAGATATAAATGTGATACTTCAAGCTTTTTTGGTGAATCTTTTTACATTAGTATTCTGGAACAACACTGATGCTGTGCTAAACATCAGTGAAAGCATTTTCCAATAAGAGATGTTTACTTCTTCACTTTTATTTATGAGAACTGATTTTTACTGTAAGAAAGAGCAGCTCAACTTTGTGAAACATCACTGAAATCCAAGGAAAAGGTTTCAGCCCTAACCAGCTGCGCAATGAAATCCTCAGAAGAATTTTCAGAGGAGCCCTGTTTATGCCCTTTTTCAAGATTTGTTTCTCTTCATACTTCATTTGGAATGTCCTTTGAAGCTTGCAAACATGAAAAATATGTGAACTTTCTTGCAGCTTGCAGTGGGTTATCACTGGAAACGGGGTTCTTTTTGTATTGTCATGGCTGCAGAACAAAGCTCCTCCAGCCCTGCCACAGGGTGTATGAGCTTAGTCCTTCCACTCTTAACATTTCCTTTCAGAAGTCCCAACTTCTATATATTATTCTCTATTCTTCATAGATCCATTGAGGTTGGAAGGGACCTTAAAGACCATCAGGATCCAACCCCACAGCTATGAGCAGGGACACCTCCCACCAGACCAGGCTGCACAAGCCTCATCCAACCTGCCCCTCCAGGGAAGGGCATCAACAACCTCCCTGGGCAACTTGTTCCAGTGCCTTCCTGCCCTCATGGGGAAGAATTTCTTCCTGATGCCCAACCTAAATCTTTTTCAGTTTAAAACCATCACCCCTTGTCCTATCAATTATTACATATGCTTCAGAACTTCTAAACTGTTTCTTAACCAGGCTTTTCCTTACCTTATTTTACTGCATATTTCTTTGGCTGTTCCTTGAACAGGACTAGACTGATTTAAACTGTTTAAATAGAGCAGTAAATTAGAATTGGTGGTGCATGACTGCAGGGCTCTAGCAGGCTTCCAGTTGGGAAATAGCCCCCCAAGCAAAAAAGGGATATTTTAGTTACCTGAGAAATGTAGTAATGACTTTGAGATGTTCTGCCTCAAGTGTCTGAGTCTGTCTGATGGAATTGACACACAAAGGGAAAGGAAATTGGCCTTCATGTGTGTATTGCCTGGGTTGGCACGGTGAGTGGCAGAGCAAGCACTGGCAGCACCCTGGGCAGTTCCATCAGCTATAACATTTCATCAAGTTGGAGATGAAGAACCAAACGTATTGGTGTGTTACCCAGTTCTCCAACCTGAGAAACAGCTTGTAGAGTAGGAACTTGGGAGCTGTGATTTTACTGCTCTGCTTTATATGAATGTTTGTTTGTGCTTTACAGGACTTCCCTTGAACACTGATTTCTGAGAGATTACTGGTGTGAACATGGACTGCTTGTTGTGGGGCTGAAAGATTGCTTTGCCTGCAGATTAGATGTACTGATGCATTATATATTGGTATTTATCTGATCATTTTCTGAAAAAATAACCTGATACATATTGAAATTTATTATTATTTAATCTTGAAAAACAACTAGGAAAAAAAAATACAGATCCATAGCAGTTTATACAACTTTAACCTTTCAGATGTATTTGAGTGCACTAATAAAGCAACTTTTGGGTCTTGCAGTATTTGGTTTCAGCTGTCACGTGTCACTCTTGGTTCCAGCTTCATCTGATTCAGTGTCACTTTCTTTTGAAGTACCCACTGAGAACACTCAGAGAGAAACTGGTGGCTTTTTTTTTTTTTTTACTTTACATATACTTTAGCTCAACTTTGTTCTACTTGCAGCTGTTAGATTTGAAAGTATATTTTGAAGAAAAAAAATAACTCCAGCAGCACCCCAGTTCCTATCTGCTGGGAGCAGCTGCTTGCGGCACTTCAAAGCCAGTGGACACCACAGTGAAGGCCTCAGCCTTTCCTGCCTTTGAAATGGCTGCAGGATCTATAGTCAGGCTTTATGGCCCTGTCAGCACAGGAAAAAAGGTTGTTTGGTGTTTTTTGCACCCTCTCCCTTGCCCCCCCACCCCCTATTTCTAATGACATCCTCAGTGAAACTCAAAATACCCAGGAAATGTTTCTGCTGAACTCATTTTCCACAAGCCCAAGTATTTGAAAGAGCATGAGCCCCAACTTTTCAATAGTGGCTTTCAGGCAGGCACATTTGACACAACACTTAATGGATTTGCTTTTCTTCCCCATAGCCCTGTCAGCTGGGCACTTTCTGCGTGCACGCCCTCGGGGTGAGCTGTGGTCCCAGGGCAGAGTGTTCGTGGTGGGACAGGGCATCACACAGGGACATTTCACAGCAGTTGAGTATGTACTCACCTTAATTTCAAGCAGATGTTCCTAAATTAACATGAATGGAACATTTCCAGTGAGCTTTTGGAGATCTTAATATTTAAATGGCATCAGCTTGTCCTTTTAAAATGAATTAAATAGAATAATAGATCACTATGATCACTGTTACACCCATTTTTTGCTATAAATAGTTGCTGAAGTGCTGTGATTGAGTGTGAAAAAATTAAGGTAGGAGATTAGCAAGAGAGCCAAAGTCTATGAAATTTCATTTTTCTAGCAGGGAAAAACACACTATGGAAAAGCTGATGAATTGTTGTTATAGCTGGATGGGGTTACTTGCTGAGTTATGGATATACTTTCTGAAGTTAGATGCCAATCTGAATGTATAAATAAGCCTTTTGTTTTGTTTCATCTTTCCTAGAACTGTGTTTATTCCATTTTAAAATAATAATTATTCATGCATCCACAGCAAAGGGGAAAGCTGTTACGTGATAGCTGAGGAATCTCACTGTATCTCAGGAAATCCTTTCTTGTGATGTTCATTGTTGGGTTCTGATGTGTAAAACTTGTGAAGGGATAGTTAGAGTTGTCTTATTTAGCCACATAGGAGAGAAACAGGACACCTTCAGGAATGTATTACTGGGTATTTAACAAAATTACTATGAAATTGTCTTAAAGATGAGAGGAATAGTCTACACTTTTAAGTTGGGAGCAAGACGAAGGTTTGGCTGGGCTTAAATATGCCTGTTATATTAAAAAAGGAGAGGTAAATAAGTGCAGAATCAGCTAGGTAAAGGTGAACAAAGCAAGACTGTAATCTTACCTGCCAGCAGCAAGGACAAGTATCTGACATAGTGTTGGGAAATTGTTCTTATTTTAACAGTGTGCTGAGCAGAGGGGAAGAATAATATTCTTTAGATCTTTCTGTATGACTTTTCTTTTAAGACTTTCTACTGAGGTCAATTTAAAGAAAAGAGTGAGATTCTCTTGAGTAAAATATGAAGTTGTCATCACAACCTTTGTTTTTATACATAATGTGTATATTTAAAAGCAAACATAATTGTGAGTGTTAGCAGTGCCATTTAATATTAAGGTTCCAAGCACAATCTCATGCTCAGTTGCTTAAAAATACTCAGTAATATAAATAACACTTCAATTTAATGGTTGGACATCTCCTCTGCTAATTTGTAGCTGTTTAACTTTATGCCAAGAGATTTCACCAGTGTTGGAATGATCAAGGCTATGATGATTTTGTTTTGCTTTTGCTTAAAACTG